TAATCGAAAAGAAACAATGAACGAGATAGAAAAGATATGTAAGCAATATCAAAAAAGAAGTACGTAGAAAAATACACGAAGGAGAAAGAAAGGAAAAAAAGAAAATGATATATATATAGACTCCACCATATAGTACTACAGAGACGGTCCTGATGTCAAAATAATAACAGAACAACAGAAGATATATACGTAGCCATGATTCTTTCAGCATCAGACAAGGATCAACACTTCATGCTGATATTCACTTTCTGAGACTACTTCAAACCAGACTTTTGGTATGAAACATGTCTTAAATGTTATCGCATGATCAACCGAAATATTCTCGAGATTCTGTCAGATCACAATCGATTTTAGACTTTAACCACATCTTTATGATGAGCATCCAGAGCTCTAGTAGATCGAATGGATATTGAGTCATTATCTAAAAAAGAACTTTATCGATCTACCCAATCTCATCACCAGGGCTGGCCTAAATCAAAAATTATTTTTCATTGTTGCAAAAACTACACAGATCATTTAATTTAGGACTATGTCCTGACTATTACTGGATTCAATTGTTCGATGAAAGCTGAGATTATAAAATGACCTTATACGTACATATGTTTTCTTCGAAGAATGAATATTGGTTCGAATTTCATTCACTTAGTATTCAGACAAATATCAGACGTTATAATAAGATCTCAAAAAAAAAAGACAATCTGCAATAATGAACCCTAGAAGCTAATGTGACACCGTCGAATACTAAATGTATCAAATAATTTGAGTTTGATACTCGGCAATGTTAGACATGAAAACATGTATTGGTGAAGATTTATATATTAAAAAATATCTTAAACATAAAGGAGATTTGAGAAAAAAGATTCGTAATCAAAGCCAAGCTCACCAAACTCGAAGAGTTTCGGTTTGATGTAAAACTAATAATGACACATATATAAGTCTTACATTTTATTAAAATTTCATATGGCTGTCTCATTTTTATTATCAAACAGCGTTAAAATGCACAAATATCATCAATGGCAAGCTCTCGACTATAAATTCTAAAATCATCTATGTCACCATAAAATGCTGTCGTTGAACCAATCTCACCAAATGCACAACTACTATTTGGTCTATTGGCTAATCTGACATAATTTGACGCTGAACTGGCTGTGTAAGTCACTAGCGATGGATTCGATGCTATTAGAACACTGTCAATATAGAGTCGAAGTCCATTTATTGAACTCCATGTTTCAACAATATGGTACCATACTGAAGATATTGACAGAGCTGGACCAAAAACAGTTCGAGCAGCACCATTCCATATTTGAGCCACTATAGAACCATTAGTGGCAAAGCCTATAAACGAAAGGCACCAACCAGTACCTACTGCAGTACTTGAAACGAAAACGATTGTTCCCCATAATGAATGAGGTCGAATCCATAGAGAAATTGAGAAAGATTTATTGGTAGTACCAAGTCCAGTAAGACCACTTATTTGCAAATATGATGTTGAATTATTGAAAGAAATAGCTTTAGAGGAATAACCAGATGATGTAAAAGAGACGAACTGTGAAGTACTTGATAAAGAATTAGGTCCAGAATCATTCAGTATAGGACTATTATCAAAATCATAATACGTTGCCAATGTAGCATCATCAAGTATTTCACATGCTGATTTTGCTCGATTGACAATTGTTAATTGATCAATATAACCCTACATGATAAAAAAAAAAACGTTGCATTTTCACTTATAAAACAAGTCGAAAAAAAATCTACCTGAAAAAAATTACTCCCATAAACTGCTACAATTCCTGGTATATAGCCTATTGTAACATTGTTTTCAATACCTTGAAGAGGTAACGCTGATATGCAATATCCAACAAGATTTCCATTCCGATAAATTGACATAGCAAGTGTAACCTTATCAAAGACAAATGCAGCATGTGTCCATGTATTTAATGGTACAGATTCATTGCTTTCACAATTGTCACCAGCAAAGGACATATAGAGGCTATGTATAGAAGTAAAATTTCGAATAGTTAAATGAAGACATTGATCACTTGATAGGTTTATACAAAGACCGAGAATAGCATGATCTATTGGATTCGGCCATCCAGTAGGATATAGCCAAAGTTCAACTGTAAAACTAGCATTTATTAAAGGAATGTATGAAGTGTATAGATATTGATTAGAAGTTGCATTGAGTACGAGAGCTCGATTTACATAACCATTGGAAATAAAAGATGGATTATTCATTGCGATTGCAGTATAAGTATTCATTTCATCGTGAAATGTTCCATTAAATGTCCATTTAGCGAGAAGACCTGATGACGAAATCCATGTTTGATTCAGACATGAAAAATCACATATCCTTGAAGTCGTCGTACCTGAAAACAAACATTATTTATTCCCAAATAATTCTTTTAAGGTCCCTGTCAAAGATCTATTTTCGTTCCAGAACAACCGATCTCGCTGAAAATTCAAGAAAACATGGATATGAGCCTAAGAAGTTTACAGTAAAAATTTCAGCCTGAAATACTGAGTTCTTCAAGAGTTATTCCTATATCAACGACTAAAAATTAGGTCTCCATGCATCTTCGTAGTGCAATTCACGTGAGACTACATCGAAGGAATACATGAAGCGCACTTGCCAGAATATTGAGTGTATGTTCTTCAAGCCAGAACCCTATAGGCAAAGCTACAGAACTTCAAAAAATTAAAATTTACCAAACATTTTCTGCTTGTGAATTTTTCACAAAATCTGTTGAAAATTGTGGAAAAAACCATCTGAAAACCTCTTCAAATCATCGTAAAAACTAAGAATAATAGTGATTCCGAAAGTAGAAAATGTGTGCTATTCAACCAGAGAGAAAGCTCAAAAATCGATATTTTTGACAGAGAACCTTAATGAAATGATTTTAGATGAAAAAATACGGCTTTGTTCATCGTTGTATAGAATTATCTTACTTGTTGAGGAGGTTGACGAGCTTGACGAGCTTGAGGAAGTTGACGAGCTTGAAGAAGTTGACGAGCTTGAAGAAGTTGACGAGCTTGACGAGCTTGACGAGGTTGAGGAGGTTGCCGAGGTTGACGAGGTTGAGGAAGTTGACGAACTTGTCGATGATGTTGTTGATATGGCTGTGAGAGCTATTTGTTAATAATGATTTGGATAGGGAAATTTATAATAATAGAACTTCACACTCACTCGTTATCGATGCTATTGTTATTGGAGATTTGTCTTTAACTAAGATAGCAATAGAAATCGTAGCAACTACACAAACAAGAAGAGCAGCAGCAAGCACAGACCAAGTCACACACAAAGGTGTACAAAAACGGCAAGGAGCACCGAAATTTCTAGAAGAAATCTTTCAGTATAAGAGAACTGAGATCATCTAACTCACCTTCGTTCCTTTCGTTGTTTTCTTCGACTTGGATATGAATTGATCTACTTGGATTAAATAGAAGCAATAATAGAAAGAATAAGAAAACATACTGTATTGACATTCTGATCATTGGACAGGCTGACATCGAATTTACCGAGACTTATCACATGATTAATGTCTTCAACAGGTAGCGCAGTATTCAACTACAAATGCAAAGATCTTTGTTTAGATATTTTTTATGATCGATTTATCTAACGAAAAAAAGCTCAACGCTTTTAAAAAGTGCATCGATTTCGGTGTATTATTAATATCCAGAATACAAATTTAAAACGTATTATACTATGTTTGCAAGTTCATGCAATGATCTATGTTAATAATGAATTCTACTTACGTTAAGAGAATGTGTTACAATAGATGATCGTTTAGTTGATCTTTCACGTGGAAGCGAATGATGATCAAAAGTTGTAGCAGATGAAAACTGTATATATGTATCGAATATATATAATAAATTTATGTAATTGATCAACATTTTTTTAAACAAATGATTACCTTATCGTCATTCAAAGGACGAATTTTACTTGACGAGCGAACTCCTATTTGAGTCGTACCAATTGGTGAAATATCTAATGTCAACGATTGACGACGCTAAAAATCAATTCAATGAATGTCATTATCTGATTATTGTGTAGAAAGTCATTTTTCAGTAGCTCACATGATTTTGAGACGATCGATGGCGGCGATGGTGGCGATGACTATGAAGTTTAATGACGCGGAATGATCTTGATGGCTGACGTCTAGTGGATAGCATGACCTTGAATAAAATCTAAGATTCTATATGAAAACGCCAACTTTTGACTAATTCAGTTAGCAATGAATGTGCATACGCTATAGAATGACTGCAATATTGACTATAAAACTCTGATTATATGTTTCGATCTGTGTAGATGATTTCTTGCATTATTTCATTAACGTATAATAGAAAAGAATAATTAGAATTTTTTGTGCTTATACTTCATATATCGAAATTGTAAATTACTATACTATTGAAAGGCTTCTCGCTCATAGACACAATATGTAAACTTGATAATTCAATTTCTTTAGAAAGAGATTTGGTCAGACACGTCACATTTTAATTAAAAGGTGTGCACATAGCTAATCCAAAGAATATGTGAAGTTGTTTTTTTAAGGTATAAAAAATGCAAAACCAATGCAATTTTTTTTTCTTTTTGATACATTGTTAGAGAGAGAGAGATCGGCGAACTATGTAAGAATATGTATATTATAATTATTTTTTGAAAGCTCTCCGGTGAAAAAAAATTCAATTTTTTCGATAGCCTTGAATAGTTCATTTTTTCTAACAAAAAAAAACATTTTTGGTGGTAAACAACTGACATAGTTTATCAATTTGAAGAAAATCTTTCATTCTATTAGAGCTATAAAACTGATATATTCAAATTCATCATTAAAAACTGAATCTATGGCATTTATATATGACTCATTTATGATGATGTTCAATAATATTATGTTCATAAAATACATAAAGTCGAATAGTAGCAAAAAGTAATCAATTGATACTTTCATGAGCTTTTTTGCAAAGCTATCTATATTTCTTTTATCTCAATAAATAGCTTAATATAATATACTATCAAAAGCGTCAAACATTGCGCTACAATAATATTTCTTTGGTTTTTCGAAATATTATTTTGTAGAACTCACGTATATATTCGAAGAAAATAGTGAATGTAAGTTTTCAGTCGAAATTTTGCGGCTTCTCCATCCCCATTACATACCTTAGCAATCGAAAACAACCTGCATCAGACTCCTGTTTCAGAATCCCTTAGCAACCGAAAAAGATGTTGAACAGCATTAACGATATGAATTAGACTATTCTAGAATATTTCAACACCTTCATCGGAATTTGAATGATTGGAATACATTTGTGAATGTTTTAAATAGTATAGTTTTTTAATTTTGCTCAGATAAAAATTTATATTCAAAATATCAACGATGATGAGTAGTGATGTGTACTAATTTGCTACAATTGTCATATGATGAACATAAAAAGCGTCAATTGATCAAGTTGTAACTTTGAAAAATAATCTATATTAGTGTTTGTGAGTTGATCGAATATATAATAGTGTGTGAAGACTTGCTGCTATAGATATAATAGATATTTACAGTAGTCTTATTTGTCATTTAATTCAATGTTTATAATAACTTGTAAACGAAAAGAAAAAAATTCTGTTTGAAATGTAGAAATAAATAAGACAGATTTTTACTCTGTGATCGGTTATCTCGGAAAACAAGTATAATTTATGAGAGATTTTTAATTTTACATATTTTGTATTAGTTTAATGAGACTAAAGAACATATGTAAGTTTCACATTTTAGCTCCACAGTGGCTGTACTAACAAACTTTTGTTAAAGAGACATGTCGTCATTTTTACAAGTAACATTCATCGTTTACATTCACTTGACTCTCGATTCAATGTACAACTCTTTCTGTATAATACACTATTTCACCACCATTATCAACACTAATATCCCATGTATGCAGAAGGGCGGGTATGAATGTGGGTGTGCCTCTCCTAGTTGGTGTCTGTCGTGTGGTGCTTCCCTTCAACAAAATAACTAATCACACTTATACTAACACACTCACATATCTGTACAATACGTCAACAAATCCATACAACACCTCAATATACTCACACCCAACATCATATACTACACTTTCACACCGACAAACACATCAAAATCTACACACCACCGCATTCACATATCATATCAATAGATCCATACTCCAACGCAACACATCTGCACATGATACACCACACTTCCAAGCCCACAAGCACAACCACATCCACGTTCCAATCCATGCTCACACTCAACATTATACACCCAGTGATTTTTGTTTTTTAGTGATTCACTTCTTGAAAATACTGTTATTATTATTTGTGACGTTTCGGCAAGTCGATGCTGCCTTCTTCAGACTTTATTAATAGAAATAAGTTAACATTCAGTGTTTAAATACAAAACGTACTCAAATGAACTCTAGATTTTTCTATTCTTCTTTTTCTTTTCTGTTATGATTTTTGATAGTGGGTCGGCAGAGGATGATATACAACGTCACTTCTACCAGCTATCATCGTCTTGCCGACCTACTATCAAAAATCATAACAGAAAAGAAAAAGAAGAATAGAAAAATGAAGAAAAATCTAGAGTTCATTTGAGTACATTTTGTATTTAAACACTGAATGTTAATTTATTTCTATTAATAAAGTCTGAAGAAGGCAACATCGACTTGCCGAAACGTCACAAAAAAATAATAACAGTATTTTCAAGAAGAGAATTACTAAAAAACAAAAATCATTTATGACCTTCCTTAACAAATATGAATTATACACCCAGAAGCCTCGCGAGGGTTTCAAGATTGAGAGCTGGCTGTTAGTAGGATGTGTAAGAAAATACCTCATAAAAATAGTAAGACATTCAAAAATTCTTGGTAGTTATATTGAAAAATAATGAATAATTTCCAATTATTGGGGACATGTACACCTCCGTTTTCCAGACTTCTGCATACACTGAACTCCCATATTCACATCGACGCTCTCACAAAAATACACCTACATCCATCCAAAATGAGACCGAAAACAAAAGATCTACTTGAGAGTGAGGACGAAGATAAGATTAAGGGTCGAAAATCTAACAGGTGTCCCAAGATAAATTACACTAAATCTCAGTACATTTTTCTCTCGTTTCTTGATTATCGAAAAAAAATTCTCTTCTATGTCGAACGATAGGGAATTTCATTCTCTACAAAATTGTCAATTTGATTTTTTAAACAAATATTCTTTGTCAATGCAAAATTTAACAGATGAACATATACGCAATTGTCTAATTGCGATGGTAAAAGAAAATTAAAAAAAAAATGATAAAATTTTAACTATGCCATAAAGTTCTCCGTAAAATTCTACATATTTTGATGTATGTTTCAGAATTTTAGAACAAATATTTGAGAGAAATAGTTTTGAAGTTAAAAAATATATGATAACACTGAAAAATAAACGCTTCTGACAAACCTGTACCATTGTTATTTTTTAAACTCGAAACAATACGCAGATTTTCATTGTTCAATTGAACAATTACATTATTTTCTTCAAAATTAAATTTTGCATCCAATGGCATAATAATAAATCTTGCATAGCATGGTTTTCAACAGTGTACGCAAAAATATACACAGATATCTGTTTCAAGTCTTTCTTTCCTGAACAACAGTACCGGAAATCTTGAAAAGGTCGTAGAAGCATAGAGCATGAAATTCTCTATCTATAGATATTACATAATTTAGTTTTAGTATCGGCTTTGATGAACAAAGGCGTACATAAGTCAAAAGATATCCGAAGAATATAGGAAATCACAATTGAATGATTGAGTAGATGTGAATCTTTTAAATTTTGCATTGACAGAGAATATCGGTTTGAAAAACAAAATTGACAGTTTTCTAGAGAATGAAATTCTCTATCGTTTGGCATAAGAGAAAATTTTTTTGATAACTAAGAGAGGGAAAAATGCACTGAGATTTAGTGCAATTTGTTCTCGAACATCCGCTAGTTTAAGATAATGGCTGATTTCTGCTGAACTATGACTTACGTCTAATATAGATAGAATATGTTTTATATTATCAAGCAAGTAAAAATAATTTCAAAAAGCTAAATTCCAGTGGCTTCTTGAATATAGAACGGAATATTATACCATTGTTGATTTCAAATTTTCCTAAGAAGAAATAAAAATAATGATGTGTTTATTGTTGTTCAAAGAAGTTTAAGATTCCTTCCAATAGAAATGAAATTCTTTAATTTTTCTTACAAAATACAGAGAAAAAAAAATACATTATTTCAATCTGTCCTAAATTTTGATTTCGTCTAATACATATATAAAATAAAATTCAGAAAGTATCTATCAGTTAATTTCTTTGAGTAAACCCGTTTTCGTATCATATAAAAATCCACGTACAATTATATTCTGATTCAACATTGGATATTGCTTATATTCAGCAAGATCATCACGAATTGATTGTTCGATGTCAACAACTGGCATAAAATCAGATTTATCAAATTGATACCTTGATCGGGGGAGAATTAAATTACTTTTTAGTGTTCCTGTTTGCACCTGAAAAGTCAAGCATATTAAAATATACAATAAATATTAACAAAGAAAAAAAAAATAGAAATTTAAACTCAAGAATAATTTAACCATGAGTGATGCCAATATTTGATCATTGCTTGAAAAATAAGTAAAACCACAATCAGTATGATGAATAATCATTAATTCTTTTGTTTGAAATAACGTTTGACTACAAATAAGTGAACGAACAGCATCACGAATACGACCACCACCTTCAATAAAAAAAAAAAAAAGTCATTCACATATCATCGAATAAAAATACATTTAACTTAGATACCATTTCGAATGATGTGTGCTTCACCTGGTTGTAGTCCTAGCATACGAAATATATCTAAGCGTGCATCCATACAACATATTATGACTAAATGTTTAGAAGGTATAACTCCATTATCATAAATATTTTCATCATAAGTTTGGGTAAATTCGACATTATTCGTACAGCAGTTATCAATGAATGATTTTGCAGGAGGCACATTACTTGAATCAAGAGCAGCTGCAAGAAGAATATCATTCGTACACATGTCTATCTAATAAAATGAATTAAAATAATTAAGAAAAGATTAGCAAAATAATATATTAAGAAAATGAAATGAACAATAAATTCATCGAAAAAAAACAAAGTATATTTTATTGGACAAGCATATTTCTATTACTATTTGCTACACAGATAGTTCAATGAGGACAAACAGAACAAAAGAATATTCTACCAATCCTTTTCTGGCATATTCAATGGTGATAGTGTAATGTATTTTTCTACGTTAACGAAAAGTGTCCTTAATGACACCACGATCTCGAATGACGATGATAGGAGAGAATGTCAATCAATAAGAAAGGTGCGGAATCTGAATCAAAGACGTAATCGATTTTTGAATTAGAATATTATTTAAATCTATTCAGTAATAGAATTAAATGAAATAAATTATAGTTATTGCAGATAATTAAGAAAAAAAGAATCTACATTTTTTTTTTCGAATATTTTTATCAAAATTATATATACCCAATGAAGTAATCAGAAAAATATATTAAAAAATGAAGCTGATTTTATTCTATAAAATCTATATTTTTTTTTTAATGACCATGAAAGATTGTATTGTGGAACAAATGATTTCAAACTTGTTTTTTCTATATAAAAAAAAAATTACTTGAATAAAAGTCGCTTTTTACTTGTTGAGAATTTTTTCTCAGCAGAGAACATAAGGTGTGTTTATTTCTACGTTTGTGTTATTTCGTTTTCTAATTATTTTGAAACCTTTTTTTTTTGTTGATATTCATATAATAACTAAAAAAGATTGATAAAGATTTCATTTACAAACAAAGCTTTCATAATATAGAAATTACGTTTCAAATTTAAACTTTTTGCAATTGATCAGAATCAAATTATGGATTAGATATGAATAATATTTGATAAAATCTGAATGGATTGTGAATTTGTGGGTAGGCGTGTATTTTCTGTAATCCAACTAAACTCAAGTATTTACTTGTTTGAGAATATGATTTTTTTTTCTATCAACAGAACATTTCTACGTTTGACAGTAATTTTGATAGATACTGTTCTTCTACAGTTTCCTGATTATCAGTATACAAGGATCAGAAAGATTATGAGGAAAAATTATATATTGAATATTTTAAATGAGATATAAATTAATATGCATCACTTGAAAGCAATAATGACGTCGAATCAAATAGGACACCACTTTTGTTTCATTCCTATAAACATACTCGGATCAATTCTCTTGATATGACGTTCACATAGTGCTTTTAATGGTATCAACAAGTAGATGCTATCTGTACTATAACATAATTTTAAACTTTAGTGAAGATTCAAATGAGTACTTCGTTCTAGTTTGCCTTCAATGTAAAAGATAAATGTCCAGTATGAAAAACATAATTCAACAGAAACATAACTTATAATTCCGTTATAGTTTACTAATTCTATTTAGAAACTTTGATTCGAAAATGGAAAATTTGATCAATATATCTTCTATTGAGGTCAATTAATGCAAAATCGTATTCATTAAGAATTTGAACAAAGTTAAAGAAAAATCATGTCTACTAATTGTTATTGGACGATGAATTGAAATGAAAAAATCGTTAAAATTTCCAACTCTATTGACTCACAGCCTATAGAATCGAATGGTGAATCACTTATGTTCAAGTTTGATATTGATTTGTACTCAAGCTATTGTAGACATTAGCCAATTTACATAAATACTCGACGAAGAAGACATTCTATTTGATTTCAATGCAGCCTTTCCTATTGAAAGTGTTATTCAAGAGAAAGAAAATACTATTCCATATTGACGTATTCACATGATCGTGTTAGCAGATGGTAATATGACGAGTTTTCTCAAAAGCATTGAGCAGCATCGTTGATAAAATTCAACGGAATTCGAAACATTTTGAAGCGCAAAGTCAATTATCAATCTATTCAATACTTTCATGCAGCTGAACAATACTCTCCACTATTTATATCAACTAAAATTAAATATTTTCAATTAGTTCGATGATTATAATCTGCTATTGGATTATTGTACTCTAAAGCACAAAACCATTCATGTACTCTTGAACGAAGGACAAGAATTATGAACAGATACGATATTTCATCTAGTAGAATTTTGTTTTTTGACTCGGTTTTATATATAGCCAGTTTAAATAGTATAAACATGTAGTTGAATTGTTCGAATGAGCTCTTGTTCACATTACCATCCATTAAAATAGTTTGACTGCTTTTTTTCTACTTATACTCAAGACAGTTTTTTTTAATCTCAAGAACGAAATGTTAAAGCATACAAAAATTCATTGTCACTGAAAGAGAAAACATTCTATGATGTAAAATGCTAATTGGCAAAGAAGAACAATTAAAGTAGAATTTTTCACTGTTCATTTAATAAGATGGATATGTTCTAGATTATATCATCTTTGAGATAATGCTTTCATTCTTATTTTCTTCTTCATTTTTGTATTATTCTTCTTGATCACGAAATTGTCTTTATTGGATATTCAAACTCAATCTATCGACACCATCTTCTGAAACAAACCATCATCAGTTCTAAACAACTTCGTGTTCAAAAAGAAGTTTTAACATCCACACCAGGCAACTGAATGATTAAAAAAGTATAAAATAAAAAAAAAAGCATTGAATGCAAAAATCGTCAACGTAATAACATAATTCATAAGATATCGGTCTTACGAAAAAAAGAGCAAAGAACGCTGTTGTTATAGAATGATTCACTTATACATATTTTTCTTTCATTTCTTGTACAAAATCGTACAAATAACAAACACGACACATACTATATATGTATCACTTTTTTTTCTTTCTCCTTTATGTTCTTTTCAACATATTCTCCTATTGATATTAATCAGGTATTTTTTTTCTCTCATCCATATTTATTTTCGATTATTTTGGTTTGTCAATAACTCGTTCACTGTATATACTAAATTTTTTGAAAATAAAAAAGACAAAAATTTGTTTTCGACGAGTTAAATCAATTCATCTGTTAACAAGCTAACAAATATACTCGCTGTTTATTGTCAAAAATTAATATGTGTGAGATCATAAACAGTATGTTGCTACATGACAGAATAAACAACGAAGAAAATACATAATATAACGGGATGAAAAAAAACCATAATAAAGAAGAGAGGGTTCACAACCAACAGATTATCATAGTTGATTCTATTACTTTTTAACAATCTGTTGTATTCATGTGTTTTTATTTGACATCAATGATTGTATTCGTTCTATCTCGAATCAACACATAACGACCTACGCATATGGGGAAAAAGTGGAGAAATGATGCAGAAAGAAAATAATCATCATTGACGTTTTTCTTCATTAGTAACTCTGTTTCTGAGTCAAAATTGCTGACGCACGTTATTTAAAATATTGATAACAAGGAGGGTTTCTTCCCTATAAAAAGAACGAGCTAATGAAGAAATTTTCTTGTATAAAAAGTAGAAGCCATTTATAAAAAATAGCTCATTATATTTATGATAAATATTTACCTATTGAATTTTGTTAAGTATGATGGAACAATCACATGTCTTGGATGAAGCATTGAAACTCTTGACTGGATTAGATAATGATCTAACGAAACGCGCTCATATTGTTGAATATGTAAGAGAAAAAGGAAATATCGCTATCTTCGCTTATGGATCTTTAATTTGGAATCCTTGTGGACATGTAGAAGAAATTATTCCAAATTGTCTTTTGAATGGTTATATGAAAGGATTTATTTGTCAAGATTTTATCTATCGAGGAACAAAGGACTTTCCAGGTCTAACAATGGGTTTAAAACCATGTGAAAATAGTTTCGTCAAAGGTTATCTGTTGATGGCTGGTGTTCATAAATTAATTTCATTCATTGAAGCTTTTATCAAACGTGAAACTCCAATCTGTGTTGATGGTACTAAGATGGATATTTATACATATGATTTTCTTCCTATAATAATGCCAGATGAAAAGACTATAGAATGGGCATTGACTTGTGTTGTCAATAGTAATAGTCAATTCTATTTACCAATGACACTTTCAATTAAACAACAAGCACAAATTATAAGTCAAGCTTATGGAATCAATGGAACGAATTTTCAATATTTACATAACACTTTGCATACCTATAGGCAATTGTCTATAATCGATACATTTACTGAAGAAATGGAAGAACTTTATGCTGCTGTTAATATTTACCGTCAATACTTAACTGACTATGAACGTCGATGGCTCGAAAGTTTTGAAAAATTAACGACGAAAGATGAACGAGAATTAGCGATCGAATTACGAAAGACAAACAATATTCTCATGAGACGACAAAAGTTATTTCATCGCACATATTCGATAGAACCCATAGTCACTACCAAATATAATCGAATGATATCTGTCTAATCATGACAGAAGTATCTCGTTTTCACCATCATGTTGTTACTTGAATCCATTCTA